GGAAGCAATGGCCACCAGCAACTTTAGCAAGCTCTAACTTTCCCAAAGCAAGTGCAATGCAAGAATGCAACTAGGAATAGTCTATTTGGGTAGTTTACATTAAAAATAAGCAATAATCTCAAATTTCATTTTCGCGTCCAAGCCTCCCTTTAAGGAAGAACCCAATTGTAATTCAGTTAGTCTTAGTCTTAGTCTTAGTCCTAGTCTGCTAGTCTAAATTCTCGAGCACTCATCATCTTCAAATTCTCAATGCTCGACCTCCTTTCGATCTCCTATCAGACTCTCATCCAACTCTCATTCAATTCTCTCGACTATCCCAATCGATAAGTCTATAATCGCACACACATCTTGCTCACATACATATTGTGCTTATCAATTTCATCATTATTAATATTCACTGTTTCTTCCACTCTAACTCATCTGTTATTATTAAGTGTGTTAACACATACATTTACAGTTGAGTTTTGTAAATTGATTTCTTATTATTACAACGCAACATTAGTTTTTATTTAAAATATTATTTTTAATTAAATATTAATAATAATTACTCAATTACATGTACATGTACATTTAGGATGAAAGAGATAGGGAACCTGTTGGTATAGGAATTGATCCAATTCCAATGGAAGAAGTATCAGAAGAAATAGCACAAGAAGACAATGGAGGGGCTGATGACTACTTGAATGAAGAGTTTGAGGTACACCACATGAACTAGTATAAAGTACCTGTATAATAAAGGATTATTATCATAGGAAGATTATGAAGAAGATTTTGAAGAAGCTAGCAATGGATCTGTTGCTGACGACAAAAGAGAATCCTCTCCATCTTCTGATATAGATGATGTACTCCAGGTAATAATAATAATAATAACAATACAGCAAGAATTGCGAAGAAAATACCATTATAGTAATGTATATACATGTATATGGGCATGTACATACGTGTATACCTATCTAGAATCAATGTTGTATTTTTACAAATGTTTATTTCCTCAGGCTATTGGTCAGGAGAATGAGAGAGTAGAAGATGAATCCTCTCAATTGCTACAAGTCATAAGTCCTTCTGCTCCTCTTCCTCCTCCCCACCTCTCCCCTCGACCCTCCATGACATTCTCAGGAGCAACACAGAAACTAAAGGAGACAAGTATAAAGATTAAAACAAGAGGAGCCGAACTGAGCAACATGATAGAGAAAGACACATTAAGCATTAACCTATTTGAACTACAACCACTGACTGAGTATGGGATGTATATGAGGAGCTTTGGACAAACAAACACTAGTCAAGTATTATAGTATTATTAAGTATTAAGTATTATTACTAGTCTTGACAATGTGTGTGATGAATACATGTACATATATGTCCATGGAATGTCTGTAATCGTCCATTTGAGTGATCTAGTGTGTAAATTGTTTGTACTACTAATGGTATTTT